ATACATATATACACATACGTTCATACAAACATATATATACACGTATATGTATGTAAGTATATGAATGTGTACATGTGAATGCATATGTAATTGCATACGTTTATGTATCATATATGTATTTGTTTATGTATGTGTAAGTGTATGTGCGCATCGCTATGTGTATGCATCTGTATATGTTTATGTGCACGTATACACTGATATGTATATACCAGATTAGATGCATGTATATATCTACACATTGATTTATTTGTATGTATATGTATATGTTTATGTATATGTGTATGTCTAGGTTTTGTTTACGCGTATGTATGTATATATATGTATATGGATATATGCATATATGTATGTATGCATATAAATGCGCAACCTCCCTCTAGCACCCATTCGGGTTGCATTGGTCTTGGAGCTGCCCATTCGCATTTTCATTGGTCATCAACTTTCTTTTCATTCGTTCCTGCTCATCCATCTTTTCTGTTCGTCGTTCCTTTGTGTTTCCTCGTGTTGGAATCGAATTGGAATCAGCAGGATTTGAGATATGCCCACTGCGGTTTAATAGGAGTCCAAGTGGACACAGCTGGATCTGGGATCTGCGCAATCCCAATGCTAGATTCCAATTAGTTTCCAATCGGCATCCAATTAGAATCAGCCAGATCTGGGATCTGCTCAGTTTCAACTCTAGACATTCGATTCCAATCGGCACCCACTTGGAATCAACCGGATCTGGGATCTGTTTCAGTTCCAAGCCGATTTTATGTAAAGCCCAATCGGACTCCAATTTGAATCAGCTGGGTCTGTGACCTGTCACATCTGAATTCGATTTTCATCAGATCCCTGTGGGAAACCACTTGAAAGCAGCTGTATTGGGAATCTGCTCCATATCATGTAGAATTCCAAGGCGGTTCCAGTACGCATCACAATAGGATCGGCTGGATTGGGGATTTGCTTAATTCTTTTTTGATTCGCATTCCATTTCAATTCGAATATACTTGGAATTAGCTGGACCTGTGGTCTGCTCACTTCCAACTAGATTATATCCCGATTCCGATCGGGATCCCACTTGGATTCCGTTGGACCTGGGATGTGGCCAGTTCCAATGAAATTCCAAATGCAACCCGGTAGAAATCAAGTTCGAATCAGCTGGAGATCTGATCCGTTCTGATTAGATTGAAAGTTAATTCCGATCGGATTCTAATTCGAATCGTCTTAATATGGGATCTGTCCATCTTAAACAGTTAATGATGAGAGCCCAGGAGAGTCTATTTGGGATCAGCTGAAGCTGGGATCTGCATCGTTTGAGTTCGATTCGCATCATATTCCCACAGGAATTCCGTCTGAATCCGCTGTGTCTGGGGTCTGCTCAATTCTCATTCGGGCTTCGTGCGTCCCAATCGGAATCGACATTGGATCAGCTGAATCTGGGTTCCGCTCCACTCCACTGAGATTTCAATTGTGTTCCAGTTGGAATCTAAGTGTTCTGGAATCCGCCTCATTACCGTGAGAGTTTAACTGTGTTCCAATTGTGTTCCAATTTGTGATCCAATGTGTTCCAATTGTGGTTCAATTGTGTTCCAATTGTGCGAGTTCAATTGTGTTCCTTTTTTTTTGAATCTGCCTCATTACCGTTCTCTCTCTCACGTTCTCGTTCTCTCTCTCTCTCTCGCACTTTCTCCCAGACACCCAGCACAATCCCTGTGAAAACACATTGTTTCCAATGTCAGGGGTGCGGACACCTTGTGTTGTGAGTTTGATGTTTTATGTTTTGGGTTTGAGAAGTGAGGAAGGCATCTGCTTTGATTATGTAGTAGTGTTCATATGTATATATATGTATATGTTTATGTATATGTGTATGTACATGTATATGTATATGTATATGTATATGTATATGTAAATGTATGTGTGTATTTGTGTATGTGTGTATGTATGTATGTATGTATGTATGCATGTATGTATGTATGTGTATGTGTATGTATATGTATATGTATATGTATATGTATATGTATATGTATATGTATATGTATATGTATATGTATATGTATATGTATATGTATATATATATATATATATATGTATATGTATGTATATATGTATGTATGCATGCATGCATGTATGTGTGTATATATCTGTATTGTTTGATGCTCCCCCTCCAGCGTAAATCCAGCCCAGCAGCCCTCCCAGAAGCTCCGATCCCCAGAATCCCAAACATCAACGCACAACAGATACCACCACCTGGTTTCCTCATTTCTCACCCCAGAAGTTCCAAGCATACAGAAGCAACATGGTTTGCGATGCCCGTTGTGAATAAAATTTGTGTTTTTCACTTGACTGTTTGCTGTTTGGTATGGGGCATGACGAAACCATGTGTTTGCATTGGTTTTTGTGTCAGTATATATATATATATACACATATTGACGTTAGGGGGTTATTGGGGATCGGAGCTCTTCGGCGGGCTGTTAAGTTGGATCCTTGTTGGAGGGAAGGATATCGAAATATGTATTCATACATATATACGTGTAACAAATCGAATTGAAAACGCATGGCTTCCTCATTTCCCATCCCATCAATCCCAACTATCCAACTGATGGCGGGGTTTCATGGGTGAGAAATGAGGAAACCATGTGTTTGCATGTTTTTTCTGTTTCTGTTTCTGGGGTCGGAGTTCCTGGGGGGGGGGGGCGTGGGGTTGGATTTTTGCAGGAGGAGAAGACTCAAAACAAACACGCACAACGCCACATGAAAACACATGGTTTCCTCTGTTTTCATCCAAGAAATCCCAACAATCCCAATGACAACACAAGGCTTCCGCACCCCTGACATCGTAAACCATGCGTTTTCAGAGGGATTGTGTTGGGCGCCTGGGGGAGAGAAAGAGAGAGAGAGAGAGAAATAGAGAGAGAGAGAGAGAACAAAGACACATTAACAAAAAACAATAGAGAGAGAGAGAGAGAAACAAACCACATAACGAGAGAGAGAGAGAGAGAGAGAATGAAGGCACGGCCGGGGCGCTGAGGGGGAGGGGAATTCTTGCCACGAAGGCGGCGGGGTCTTCTCCCACCCCATGTTCTGGAAGCGCGCTTCCAGAACATGGGGGAGCCTCTGATCATTCTCATGCGCTCCTGCACCCTATTCGCTCGCACCCTCGACCCTGGACCCCTGCCCGCTGTACCATGCGCGATCGTCGTCGTCGACTTCGGCGGCGCATGATCCCTTTTCCATGCTCCGGAAAGCCTTGTCCGGAACATGGGGGCGAAGAAAGGCCTCGCGCGGGTGGGGCGGGGTTTCCTCGGCTTGTGTTGGCCCGAAGGCTCCATGGGGGCTCTTGGGGGTCTCTTGGGGGTCTCTGGGGGCCTGTATTTGTCGTCTCTTGGAGTCTTGGGAGTCCTCTTGGGGTCTCTTCGGATCTCCTTGGGGACTCTTGAGGGCCTCTGGGGACCTCTTCGGGCCCTCTTGGAGCCTCCTTGGGCCCTCCCAGGGCGGAAAACTTGATTTTTGAATGCTTGGTCGTCCTCTAGGGCCCCTCTTGGGGCCGCCTTGGAATCGTCTTGGGCTGTTTTGGGTGTCTCTTGGGCCGTCTGGGCAGCGTCTTTGGGGCCTCTTGGGTCGTCTTGGGGTGTCCTGGCGGGCCTCTTGGGCTGTCTTGGAGCGTTTGGAAGGCGAAAGGGCGAGGGTGGAGGAGGAGGCAGATGAAGATGGAAAATTAACAATTCTCCCTTCTCGGGGTCCTCTAGGGAGACCTCTTCGAGGCTTCTTGGAGCGTCTTGGCGGCCGCTTGGGCCGTCTTGGGCTCATCTTGGTCGTTTCGGGGGCCTCTGGGGACGTTTTGGGGTCCTGTGGGGGCATTCCGGACTGGTCCTGGGGCTCTCTGGGCGGGTTCTCGTCTTCGGGGAACCTGAAGCCACCATGGCGACCGGGGGCAGCTGGGCGAGGGCCTGCGCCCCCGGTACTCCGATATGTATATATATGTATATGTATACATATATATATATATATATATATACATATGTCTGTCTGTCTGTCTGTCTGTCTGTCTGTCTGTCTGTATGTATGTATGTATGCATGTATGTATGTATGCGTGTATATATTTATATACACGTTTTCCAGATCTATATACATATATTCAGATATTTCGACTTCTATCCAGCTGCGCCCCTGCATGTGACCACGACTGCGGTCGGGGCTTTGGGCCCCACATGGCTACATTTTGGAAATGGTGATTGCGTTTCGCGAATACCGCGTGGCATGTTTCCATTTGTCCATGCGCATGCTTACGCATGCGCGTGAGGACATACCTCGGATGACCCAGTCGTCCGTTTTGCGGAGACGCTCTCGTCCACCGCGGGCGGTGGACGGGGACTCGGCGACCGTTTCTAGTGGTAAGGTCGCTATTGCTGTTGGTGCTACTGCTGCTGCTGCTGCTGCAAGTATTGAAACTGCTATTTCGGCTTGCCTCCAGCATCGCTGTCATTTCTGCAGGTCTGAAACAATTACTCTTTCCTACTTGTCGCGCCACTGCTACCGGATCATTGTGTCGAATCCTGCGATCATGATCGCATACATATATTGTAGTTGCAATCGGAAGAGGACCTGGATTTCCACCGCACGGTGGTGTCAACGGTGGACGCACATAATGTTCCTGCCTCTGCGCTGCGTGGACATCCGACACGATGGTGGTAGCGCGGTTGCTGATGAATCAGTTTTCCGTAGTGACCCGTTATCATAATCGTGCTCCTGCTTCTGATCGTCCTGCTCTTCTGATTTTGCTCCTGCGCTTCCTCCTCGCTTGCTCATGCGCAGGCTCTTCCTCATAATTTCCGTCTGTCTCTCCCTCCTTTCCCCGTCCCCAGAGCCCTTGCCGCTCCTGCTGCTCCGTGCGTGGCCGGAAGGACGAGATGGCCTCTCCGCCGGAGTGAAACCGTTGCGCTGGTGCTGCTGCTCCCGCTGCCGCTGGTGCCGCTCCTGCTGCCCGCTCCCCCTCCCCTCCGCACCTCCAGCCTCGTGCCGAGGCGTACCTCGCCGAGATTGTCGCCCGCGTGGGGCTTGACGCTCCCACCAGCCTCATGCTAAGCTTGCTGGAGGCGCCAAGCCGCGTTCCCCGCCTCCAGCTTGCCCCCGCCTTCTCTGTCCCCGATGCCCCGACCCCGAGCCCCTCCCACTCCACATTTCCCATGTCCCGACCGGCCTCCGCCGCACCCCCTTCTTCCCCCACCCGGTGCCTTCGCCCCCGCCGCTTCTGCCCCTGTCACTGCAAGTTTTTTTGTTGTTTTTCTTCTCTCTCTCTCTCTCTCTTTCTCTCTCTCCCCTTCCCGCTCCCTCATTCCCTTCACTTCTTCACCTTTCCCCCTCTGCCGTGGAACAGCTTCCCGAACATCCGGAAACCTCCCCACAAGTCCAGAAGCCTCCCAGGAACACCCGGAATTCAACGGAAACACAGCCGGCCATTATTCCAAAAACATTGCTTGCACTTAGAGGTGCTGACTTCTGTTCTACGGAGCTGGGACGGAATGTCGGTCTGGCGCCGTCGTCGCCCCGTCGCCGCCTCGTCGCCGCTTTCCGTCTGGGCCTGAATCCTGAATGTGGGTCTTGCGTCTCTGTGGTCGCCGTCGCCGCCCAGGCGCCGCCGAGTTGCCGCACCGTCACCGCCTAAATTGCACAACGTATACTGTCACTTCTGAAAAGAAAATTGACTCTACACCCCCCCGGACTTATCGGCCTGGCTTCCCGCAGTGCAGTTTTCTTCACGCATTGATAGTTTGCCTCATGACTTCATACCATACCCGCCAGGCCGGAGTTCGCACCCCTTCATCCTGAAGACAGTATTCGCGCGCGCTCGTTTATCAAACATCTTCAGTTGCCAAGAATCCCTTTTCACAAAAATGGGACGGAGTGCGCACGCGCGCATCGTCGCGCGCGCATCTGCCGAAATCCGTGTGAAAACCTCAGTCCCCGTAAGGAGTTCAAAATCGAGAGACACATGTTTTTGCAACGTCGGTTTTCACGAGACGTTTGCGCCCGCGTCCTTGCGAATTCTTAAGGTAACCATATTCTTCAACTTGTTCATAACATGCCAACACACGGGCCTCTCGCGCGCGCGTGTCGAAATCGTTTGGTCGCCCTTGCGCGCGTGCTGTCGCAAGAACCCGTGCCGCCAATGGGACGAAGTGCGCGCGCGTCGTCCCTCGCGCATGCCGACATCCTTCGTGAACCGTAGCTTTCGTAGGGATTTCTAACACGAGTGTCCCGCAGAAAAGAAGAACGCACATGATTTTGTAGCATCAGCTTCAGGACAAAAAAAAAAAACATGCGCTCGCGGTCCCACGAATTCTCAAGAAAGCCATGTGTTTGTTTCAACATTTTCATCACATTCTGAGAAGCGGACCTCTCGCCACATGTCGAAGTCATTGGAATTCCCTTGCGCGCGTGCTGGGGGAGGGTGGGGGTCGGGCGGGGGCGCGATCCGTGTCGAACAGTTCCACGCGGGCCACTCGCGCGCGTCGGCCGCGCCCGCGCGTCGAACTCATTCAAAACTTGCACCGCCGACGCGAAGACATCGTCATCGTTATCGGCGGGCGCGATCAATGTCGGCGCCGACATTGGCCGAGCCGTCGCCATCGCCATCATCGTCGCTACTCTCGCAATCGCGTCTACCGCTGTCGGCGCCGCCATGATGCCGCGCCCGTTCAAGTCACCGACTCGTATTGAAGTGCCTGCTTGGGAGTGCCCAGCGGTCAGCGCCGCCGCGGCCGCGTCGGTCGCGTCAAGCTAGCTGGCAGCTGCGCGCGCGAGCATGCGCGGGCTAGCGCGGCCGCAGAGGTGCACCGGCCAACGCCAAGCGTTCATCGCAATCGCCGCCGCCTGGGCTTTGCAAACCAAGTACGGGTGGTGGGTGGGATGTTTGCAAGAGCGTGGGATTTGTCAAATTATTCGTAATAGTCAATTGCGCCACGTAGATTCTCCTCCCCCGTGGAATAGTGGGATCACCCCCTGCCCCCACCCCGTCCCGGGATTTTCAGCACCAGACTGGATGAGGGTGGGGCGCTCTAGGCCCTCAAGGGGTTTGAAATGGAACCGCTCTCTTCCCGTCTGCCCTTCCTCTGTTCGTTCCTTCTTCTCACTCCTCCACCTCCCTCCTCTCGTCATTGCCATTGTTCTCAAGAGGGCCCGCATCCGTGGCATCTTAAGAGAGCACAGAAGCAGAGAGGCAGAACTCCTGCTCCAGAGCAGAGACGCATAACAGCAAACACAACAAGACAACACAACAGCAAAACAAACAGTACATGCAATACTCTGGGAGAGTACAGACAGCTAGGCGAATCCTTGCGTAGCATTGTTTGTTTGTTGTTTTGTTGTTTTTTACTTCCTTTTGTTTCTTGGATGGGGGAATACAGACAGCGAGGCGAATCTCTGCGTAGCATTATATATATGTGTGTTTATATATAGTGTTTTTTTGGAGCCGGGAAAAAGGAACTTGCAAAGGTTCACTTTCCCGATTGCGTCTGATTTGAAGAGGGTACTTGAAAAGGTTAACTCTTCAGGCGTGGATTTCAATGGAAATCCTGCTGTCGATGATTTCGACATCTGTTGAGGATTTCAATAGAAATCCTGCTGTGGAGAATTACAGTAGGAATCCTTATGTGGAGGATTTCAATAGGAATCCTTCTGTCGGGCATTTCAACAGGAATCCTGCTGAGTAGGATTTCAGTCGAAATCCTTGTGTGAAGGAATTATGTTGGACTCCTCCTGGAGAGGATTATAATAGGAATCCTGGTGTGGAGGGTATCAGTCGGACTCCTTGTGTAGAGGATTTCAATAGGAATCCTGCTGTAGAAGCTATCAATAGGACTCCTGCTGTGGAGGGTTGCAATGGGAACTTTTCCGCAGAGGATTTCAATACGAACCCTTTTGCCTAGGATTTCAATCGAAATTCTGCTGTGGAGGGTTGCACCTCTTGTAGAGGATTTCAATGGAAATCTTGTTGTGGAGGATTCACAGAATAATCCTTATGTGGCGGATTTCAAATCCCCATGTCGGGGATTTCAACACGAATCGTTTTGGTGTGAATTTCACTAGGGTTCTTTCTGTAAAGGATTTCAATCGGAATCCTTGTGTAGAGGATTCCTATATAATCCTGTTGTGAAGGGTTTCTGTAGGACCCCGTCTGTAGAGGAATTCAAGCACGATCTTTCTGTAGAGGCTATCAATCGGGATCCTGCTGTGGAGGGTTTCAGTAGAAGCCCTTCTGTAGAGGATTTCAGCAAGAACCTTTCTGCCGAGGATTTCAATAGGAATCCTGCTGTGGATGCTATTAGTTCCTTCAGAGGATTTCACTAGAACTCTTTTTGTGGACGATTCAAGTAGGAATCCCTTTGTGGAGGATTTCAATAGAAGTCCTTCTGTGGAGAAGTTCAATCGGAATCCTTATGTAAAGGATTTCAATGCGAATCCTTCTGTGGAGGAGTTCGATCGGATTCCTGGTGTAAAGGGTTTCGTTCGAGGACTTCTATACGAATCCTTGTTTAAAGCCTATCAATAGGAATCTTGCTGCGGAGGGGTTCAATAGGAACCCTTATGTCGAGGATTTCAATAAGAATCCTTATGCCGAGGATTTCATAGAAAACCTGCTGTGGAGGGTTTCGAGTCCCGTGGAGGATTGTAATATAAATCCCGAGTAGGGATCCTTTTGCAAAGGATTTCAAAACGAAATCCTTATGTAGAGGATTCCAATGTGAATCCTGTTATGGAGGGTTTCAGTAGGACTTCTTTTGTAGACGATTTCAATAGGAATCCCATTTTGGAGGCTATCAAAAGGAATCTTGCTGTGGAGGTTTTCAACAGGAACCTTTTTGTATAGCATTTCAGTCGGAACCCTTCGGTCGAGGATTTCAATCGAAATTATGCTGTGGAGGGTTTCAACACTTGTGGATAATTTCAACAGAAATCTTACTGCGGAGGATACCAATAGGAATCCTTATGTTGAGGATTTCACTAGGAATCCTGTTGTCGGGCATTTCAACAGGAATTCTGATGTGAAGGGGTTCGACTCCTTCTGCAAAGGATTTCAATAGGAATCCTTACGTTGAGGATTCCAGTAGGAATCCTGCTGTGGAGGGTTTCGCTCGGATTTGTTTTGCTGATCTTCAATAGGAAGCATTCTGTAGAGGCTATCACTCGGAATCCTGCTGTGGGGGGTTTCAATATGAACCCTTCTGTAGAGGATCCTACGTTGATTTCCAGAGCGGGCCAGGAGAGGGACGGTGAGGATTAATAGGATCATGCGTATGGTGTATGAAAAAGGAAGAGGGAGGGACGGGAGGAGAAGAAGAGGGCCAGCGGCCACGGCAAAGAACCGAAATCGCCCCACCATCATCCAGTCTGGCGCCCGATTGTCTGACCACTTTTTCGCATTGCAGTTCGCGTGTGATTCCGCCCCATCGCTCATTTTAGCGGCGCGGTGACAGCAGGCCAGGGTCGGATGGGTCACGTGCTGGGGGACATCGGCCCAGCGAACGCTTCGATCCTTTTCGCCCTCCGGGTAGCCTTCGAGCAGGTGGACCACGCGCCCCTGCCCCAGGTGGCCAGCGCCAACACTTCCCCGCGTGGCCGGCGAGGCCTTAGGTTTCATTGCGCCGAGCGCCGCGGGCGCTTGCGCTGGGCGCGTGCAGCTTGCAGGAAAGTTGCACGATCCAGGTTGTCCTGGCAGGCGACGCGGCCGCGCCGGGATTCGCGCAACTGATGCTCTTGTGCCGCTGGGCGTGCTGGTGGCCGCATTCGGCGCGGTGGGCCCAGTGGCGGTGGTCGACGACCATTTGCTGCTGCGTTGGGGTGGCGGCTCGCACCCTCGTTTGGGAGCTGGCTGCCCTCGAGCTCATGGCGGCGGTGGGGGGCCCGTTCTGGGCAGCAGCAGCCAACTCAGGAATGGGATCTCCAGCCCATCGGCCAAGTGCTCGGAGGTGCAAGGAGCGAAGCGGGCCAGGGGCCTCGTCGTCGGCCACTCCGGGTGGCGCGCGAGTAGTCGCGCCCATCAGACAGCGGCGGCCCCCAGCACGCAAGCGCAGAGCTCCGAAAATCAAGCGCCTTT